TAGGAATTATTAAATAAACGTTAATATGTGGATTTTAGTTCAAAGAACAATCGATGTTTTTTTAAATGTCAAAGTCAAAATGACGTATGACATTCATCTTTCTGTATTAAAAAATATTAATAAATTAAATTACTTTTATTTATTAAGTAGGTATAATTAATATATTAATATTGTTATTTTATGTAATATTTCAAATTTAAATATAATAAGTTTTTTTTGTGTCAATATCTAATTGACACAAAAAACAGCGAATGATTTTCGCGTACCCAAAGGAATTAGTATTATACTGAGATCTAATACTTTCGCGAGTATACATTTAAATGAAACTAATATTTTCATTTAACTACGTGTATTTTACTATTTTAACCCCATTTTCATTTCATCTTCTTGATGCATTGTAATCTAAACGTAATAACAATGTTTTTTTTTTATAATAAAAAACTTGTAAATCCGAAAATATTATTTTTATAGAAATATTACTTAAATATATATTGATATATGTATTAATTATTGTCATAATAAAATGTATCCCATAGCGGGCTGGTAACTTGTACCTAATATATGGCGCCAATATAACATTTAGGAATTTTAATCACTGAGGAACGGGATAGGGGCGCAGGGTTGGCGATTTATCTATATAATATAATTATTTTTAATATATATATTTATAAATAAAATATTTATTTATTTATACGGACCAAAGTGAAAATTTTGAAAATCATCCATTATTTTTGAACTACATAATTTAATTAAAGTCTGATTATGAAAATATGTAGTACCTAATTAGTAGTTAATTTATTATCGTAAAAGTTTCTAAAATAAACCTATAATTTTTTAATTTAAATGAGTATTTCCTTGTACCGTTTCGCCTGCTTTTCCCCATATAGGTATATTATTTTCGTTTAAAGTACATCCCTTATATAGGGTGGCCAATAACAACCCTCCCGTATTTCGAGATTGTCATCAACCACTTGCATACATATTACTTCAATGGTACAAGTGTTATAATTACTGTAAAAAATATGTTCAACCGACTTACAAAACGAGGGGTTATGTTTTGTTAATATTGAATTTTTATTTGTATTGAAACTTCTCATCATTCAATGTATTTATATGCGTGTGTCGTGTCCATCGTTGTAGTGAGAGGAGCTTCAACAGTGACTGGGACTTGTGACCCAGGTGTAGGTTTAATATATATAGAGAGACGAAACCTCTCATCATTCAATGTATTCACGGTGCGTGTGTCGGGTCCATCGTTGTAGTGAGAGGAGCTTCAACAGTGCCTGGGACTTGTGACCCAGGTGTAGGTTTAATATATATAGAGAGACGAAACCTCTCATCATTCCATGTATTCACGGTGCGTGTGTCGGGTCCATCGTTGTAGTGAGAGGAGCTTCAACAGTAACTGGGACTTGTGACCCAGGTGTAGGTTTAATATATATAGAGAGACGAAACCTCTCATCATTCAATGTATTCACGGTGCGTGTGTCGGGTCCATCGTTGTAGTGAGAGGAGCTTCAACAGTGACTGGGACTTGTGACCCAGGTGTAGGTTTAAGGGACCCCTATATAACGTTAAACGCTCACCACTGTCCAAGCTCCTCTCTCCTAACCAATAATCGACTTATAAAACTAAATGTGTTTTGTTTCTTAAAATTAAAATCTTATTTTTATTTGTATTTATTACTAGCTGCGCCCAGCGGTGTTACCCGATTTCCGGGATGTAAAGTAGCCTATGTGTTATTCCTGGACGTCAGCTTCCTGTATACAAAATTTTATCAAAATCTGTCCAGCCGTTTGAGCGTGAAGCGGTAACAAACATACACACACTCACAAACTTTCGCAATTATAATATTAGTAGGATAATTATTCTACTATACGCAATACAATCTGTTTAACGTTTTTTAGTATAACGAATTTGTGATATGTTAATAAAATTAAATGGAGATTATCTTATTCTCGGCAGACCCTGGCTAAAGCTGGGAAATTGCCAGGAAGAAGAAGAAGAAGAGGAGATTATCTTATTCTTCTTCCTACCACTTCATGTAGGGTCAGCACAATATATTCTTTTCCACAGAACATGTTGTGAATAGTTTTGGCTAATTGTTTTTACGACCGGCCGCCTGCCTGACATCAACGCTCTTTGGGAAAAAATTAAATGGAGATTAGGTATAATGAATTTGAAATATTTTCTTGTGGTCAACAAATTATAAAGAATTAGGTATATATTACTAGTTTTTGCACGCGACTTCGTTCGTTAATTTCGTCATTAGTAATATATGTATAGCTGCCGGACGAACTATATTCCGTCTTAGAGGACGTATATAACCAGATATTGGAATTTATGAAGTTTTTTTTCTGTTTCGATCGAACAAAATTAACTATCCTATGTCCGTCTCATTGTTCTAATCTATCTCTCCACCAATTGTCATCCATACCCGTACAGTCGTTCTTGAGTTATAAATAGTGTAACTAACACGACTTTCTTTTAGATATTAAGATACATACATAATGAATAATTCAAATGTATTTTTAATATAAAACAATAAGAAAAATTTCGTTACTCATTTTTAAACATAAAATCGTCAGATTGCTATACTTTGTGTCAACATAATTAATTTTTAAGTAAATCCAATAAAACAATGTTCAAAGTATTAGAGGTTGGTAAAAATTACGTTTCGACTATAAATAGTCGTTAAAATTGTTATTAATAATAATTTATCACAAATATATAATGTCTATTAATTTTTTTAATTACCAAATAATAAACAATACTTATTTAAACTATATATAAATAAAATCCCTACAAATATTATAAATGCGAAAGTAACTCTGTCTATCTGTCTGTCTGTTACGTTTTCACGCCTAAACCACTGAACTGATTTTAATGAAATTTGGTACAGACATAGATGACCTTGAGAAAGAACATAGGATAGTTTTTATCCCACACTTTTGAAAGGTTCTCTTGGTAACGCGATATAACCGAACTCCACGCAGGCGAAGTTGCGGGATGAAAGCTAGTAGAGTATAAAAACTATATTTCATATAATTCTTATAAATATGAAATAAATAAAAATCATTGTCTGCTACATTTATCGTTAGTCCTTACTCATTTTATTTCGACCGCTGCACGATTCAGTACGCTTACCACAAGTTCGTCTCTACATACTCCACGTCAACAGTATTTCATTAATAAACCTTGTATAGTATTAACGTAGTGTTGGATGAGAAACGGGAAACTATTAGTATGTAGTGTAATTTAGTCCTGACTAATGACAAAGCTCACTTGTAAATAAAATTTTACATACTAATACAGTTTTTATTGTTTAAAAGTTATGCTTTTTATTTATAACAATGGTTAAAAATTGCGATGTTTTAAGCTTGAAGTATGTCAAATAAAAATCATTTAAAATCTAGTTGAAACTATTCTATTCATTTAGTTATTTCCATTTAATTATAATTTTCTTTATATCTTGAGAATATCAAACTGAAAAATATATGTAAATAAGTTTTTTAATTAAAAAATGGCATTACAAGATTTATTTTTTTTATTTACTTAAGTAGTTAAGAGAATATAAGTTCAACAATAATAAATGAATTCACATTTAGACGAAGTTATTACAAGAATCCATTGATTGGATATTTCTCCAGTTATTTTTTTTTTTTTTAATTAAATGTAAAATGAATTGCTTAGAATCCAAATTGTAATAAAAAATGGAAGTAATTCTAATATGACGTTTTATAATATTGACATTTCATTATTTCAATGGTAATATTTAATTATTCTTCGTATTTAGGTACTTCATTCTTAATTTCTTAATTCTCAATTTTATTAATATGTTATACTTCTATTAAAATATAATAAGAAGAGCAACTAGTAATATTTATAAAAGAAATAATGATAATGATTTTTATATATAAAATTAAAAGTAAATTTAAAAGTATTTATACAAATTAAATTAGGCGAAAATATCATAGAATTATTTTATTATAATAAGGTTTAGTTTATTTACCGAATGAGAAACTGGAAACGATTAGTAAGTAGTGACAGACTTGTGGTAAGCAATAAGCATACTTATAGTTTTCTAGTTTTTAAATCATCACTGTAAAATAGGAATATACCTATATATAATTAATTATAAGTCTACACAACACAATACTTTAAGCTCATCATTAACAAAACCCATTTAATCTACCTAGCTAATGTATAATTAAATTAAATTAAATATTATAAAACAATAAATTGCCGCATCCATTATATTATAATACCGCATCCATCCATTACTAGCTCGTTGTTCCGATTATGATATTAAATCGTTTTACAGGGCATACGAAAGATGAACAGGGGTGGATTTTACCAGATCTACGCTCCAGAAGTAATGAAATTTAATGCAGAATAAGTTTCCAGAAGATTTACAGGTGAATTCCATAGAAATTGCTATTATTTTTTTGGATAAAATCACGAAAATTTACGCCATTTTGTGTTCTTATATATATTATGCACAATTGTAAAGAAATTTTTCGATAAAATTTTATTGTACAAATTTGTAATAACTAAATTAATTATATTAATAGCTTTTGCATTATTTTTTATGTATCTTGAAAGTAAAATGTATTTAATTGATAAATGAGATCGATATTGCTAAATTATTGTCTCAAATCCGGTCCTGCCTCAATCAAAGGCTTGCTGAACCGCAAATCACGTTCCTCCCTCCACTGTATCATGCCACTCCTACCCACGCAGGCGCACTCTCTACCAATCAGATTCATACTCTCTCACCCTCACGATACCATCAACCTTCAATTGACCGGTTCCTCATTTTTTCCCAACCAAACCTAACAGCCCCGCCCAATGGGGATGTCATAAAATTTGTCTTTTAATCATAAACCACAGCCACCAAGCATAGAACGTCATTAACTTAGACAGACGAAACCGGGTTATTAGCATTGTATAGTGTAAATATGTGTGTTATTTATAAAGTGAATTAAAATCGTGAAATAATGATGGATCAGAGGCAGATTTATCCGAATCTATCCGAACTTTTGTATCAGAACGACAAATTCGGTGAAAATTACGCCGAAAACGAGCGTTATGCCGACAACGATAATTCGCGGACATCGCAATCGCCGCCAGTGTCTTTGGAGGAGGATGACAGCCAGTCGTTTGGCGTGGATTTGACTGGCAAGGCCACCAATTTGGCTGGCAAGTCGTTCACAATAGCTGCTATACTAGGACTGACTGGGGGTGATGATGACGTCATGAACCTGAGCGTCCAGGAGAGATTTCAGAATCAAAGGCAGTTGCAGAACTACCTATACGCTGGACATGAAATGCAGAGGATCAATGATGGTTTCTGCAGAACTATGGTTGGTGTACCGTCTTCGTTACGGCAAGGTAAGTGTAAAATCTACTTACATTTCTCCACTAAATTTCCGCCGACGTGGAGTTCGGTTATATCGCGTTTCCAAAAGAACCTTTCAAAAGTCTGGAATAAAAACTATCCTATGTTCTTTCTCAATGTCAACTCTATGTCTTTACCAAATTTCATTAAAATCAGTTCAGTGGTTTAAGCGTGAAAGTGTAACAGACAGACAGACAGAGTTACTTTCGCATTTATAATATTAGCAGGAATATACAACGTGACTTTTATATAAAAAATAAAACTCACGTAAATATTAGATCTTATTAAGTAGAATTATTCTACTATCATTGTTTCTTTAGCACAAATATTTTGATTATTCTTTCGTAGCAAATTCAACTATAATCATTATAAAAGTTACTTTGGCTGTACTAATATTTCTCCACTATAAGACAGCCAAAGAAATAGTATTATAATAAGATCTAAGACTTTCGCGAGTATTCATTTAAATGAAACTAATATTTTTCGGATATAACGCGGTTTATTTATATGTCAAAACTACATACTTCCGACGTTTCGGTTATTTGTCATCCACATCTCGTCTTAATGATCACGGTTGCTGAAAAGTAACCGAAACGTCGGTAGTATGTAGTTTTTGACAAAGATAAACCGCGTTATATCCGAAAAATATTAGTTTCATTTAAATCAATAGATTTTTTTCTTTAACACAAATATTTTGATTAAATTTCTTTAATATGACATTCAACTGTCATTATGATTATTTCAAAAGTTTCTTGAGCACGAATTTTCTGTTTCAAAATCCTTTGTAGGGCTTAAAACAAACTTATTTGCTTTTCAGTCTACTATCATACTATCTACTATATACTCGAAATCCTAATCATTTTTATATTATAAAGATAAAATTCAATTGAATAAATTTAATAGGAATATAAAAGAAAGTCGTGTTAGTTACAGTATTTATAACTCAAGAACAACTGTACGGATATGGATAAAAATTGGTGGAGAGATAGATTAGAACAAGGAGACGGACATATGATATTTAATTCAGTTCGATCGAAAAATAAAAAACTTAATAAACTCCAATATTTGGTTATTTACGTCCTCTAGGTCGGAATAGAGTTCGTCCGGTCTTTCATACATATATTACTAATGAAATAAACTTTAGCGAAATTACATTATATGTTTGAAAATATTTACAAAACTATAAAGTTAACATCAAAACTCTGATTAGTCAATTGTCAAAAAACAAAAGTGTCAAAAATACAACGCTTTCAAACTATAATTCGTCCAACAAATAAAAACGTTGGAATTGACAAAATTTTTACACGATTCCAGTGAGAATGAAGACAGCATAAAAAAATGTCAGATCTCTTTTTATTATATTATATTATATTTCTATTCTATTCTATTCTATATTATATTAAAAAATGTCGAGCTTACCACAAAATGAAACTAATATTTTTGGGATTTTTTGGGATTTACTACGCGATTTTTATTTTTGACTAGAAGACCTGTCGAACTTCGTATCGCCCTATAATCAAGAAATATCTATTACGTTTTTTTATTTATAGTTTTGGAGTTTACCTGTAAGCCATAAATCTCCGTGTTTTGAAGTGCGACAGAATGATTGACATATTAGGTAGTTGTCAAATCTAATGTAAAAAAAACGTTTGTATGGGAAAAAGAAAACGGCTGTTTTTATGGTTTTCCCAGTAGTAAATCAATTTTTTTCAGCTTTTTACCTTCCCTGAACCTCCACGAACATTTCAAGACTAAGATAAGATAAATCCGTTCAGCTGTTCTCGAATTTTAGCGAGACAAAGGAACAGCAATCCATTTTTATATATATATGAGATTACAAACTACATAGACGTTTCGGTTACTTAATCCGAAAATATTAGTTTCATTTAAGTGAATACTTGCGAAAATCTTGCGAAAATCTCATTATGAGCTTACTCCAAGTTCGTCACTACATACTCCACGTCAACAGTATGTCATTCATAAATCTTGTATAGTATTAACGTAGTATTGAATGAGAAACGGGAAACTATTAGTATGTAGTGCCAGAATTTGTCTCGTAATATTTTTGTAACAGGCTCATAAACAAATATGCTTAAAGAATAAAAATGTAGTTTACTTACTACAATAAATACTTTAACAGATTTTAATCAAAGATTCAAATAAAAAAATCCTAAATCTTAATTTTAATACAAATAGCTTAGTTTTATTCTAATACAAAAACGAATATGTAATACAGTTTTGTAATCTCTAATCATTCGATATTTATTCTGAATGACACTAATTGACAATTTTAGTGTCAATTTACTGACAGTGATACATCAATTGTATTGTTTCCAAATAACTAATAATGACATTGACAAAATATATCAAAATTCCAGTGCAAATGAAGATATAGCATAAAAAATGTGTAAAATAATTAAAAAGGGTACGTTACTATTATCCTGTACTTAATACTACTAAGTTAATACTATCATGTACGCAGTGAACCTCTGAAAACTCGTAGTAGGCATAACTATATTACTTTAAAAATATTGAAAATAACCTATTTAACTCACTAACAGTGTATAAGATGAAATCTAAGACTTTTTGCGAGTATTCATTTTATGATAATCATCATCATCATCAGTCTATCAGAGCCCACTGCTGAGAAAACGCCTCTTCTCATGTGGAGAAGAATTTTCATTTAAATGAAACTTTTATTTTTGTACACATCTCATCTGCCATTAATCATGGTTACTGCAAAGTAACCGAAATAGATAAATTATGTTAATTTAATTCAAATTTATTAGTTATAACAAAAATTTGGTTGAATTTATCTAATTTTTAAGAGATTTTTGGCAATTTAATCGACATTTTCTTAAATGTCGATATTAATTATTTGTATTTTTAAGTATACATATGCCTATTAGAATTATAATTATTTTTGTATCCAAATATAACTTCGGATAGCAGTAAAATCAATAGCTTGTAAATCTAACCAAAACAGTTAATAATTTAATCTTCTTCCTGGCAATTTCCCAGCTTTAATCAGGGTCTGCCTTACATGTTGTGAATAGTTTTGGCTAATTGTTTTTTCGACCAGCCGCCTGCCTGACATACACCCTCTTTGGGAATGCATTAATCAGTGATGTCTAAATACTCTTAGAAAATACATATGACTCGGTAAAATCACATTGGTACTTGCTAGGCCAGTTAATTATAATTGAATATTAAGAAATAATTACATTTTATTACTACAAGTTTACTACAAGTTTTTCGTTTTAACTACTAATTGTTATTACAACTGTCTATTAAAAATACTAATACTAAGATTTGTTAACACTTCGTGTGTAGTTCAGTGGTGGCCTAGTGGTTAAAGGCACGCCTCTCATGCATGAGGGAGCGGGTTCGATCCTGGCAAGCACCAATGTGATTTTTCCGAGTCATATGTACTTTCTAAGAGTATTTATATATCACTGACAGATGAAGGCAAACACCGTGAGGAAACATGGACTTATAATACACAATTATAAGTTTGAAATCACCAACCTGTCTTGAGCGAGTGTGGTGATTAATGCTCAAATCTTCTCCATGAGAGAAGAGGCTCAGCAGTGGGCTCTGATAGGCTGATGATGATGAAAATAAGTCTTTCAATTTAACTGAATTTATGATTTAGGTAAAAATATAATTTTTTACCTTTATTAATTTAATTTAATTATAAAAATATAAAACAATAGTGAGTTACTTTTACAATAAGACACTACAACTTTAAGAAAATATAATACCCTATTGTTTAATAAATTAACACTGAATAGCTAAGCTCCATATAAACATTTATTTTTTTTACAAAATATTGTATTATTGGCAGATTTACTTTAATAATTTTGTAAAAGTAGTTTGATATAAATCAAATTAAGTTTTTCGTATATTACTAAGCGTTTTTTTCACTTTCATCTCTACTTCATGATCAGTTGTTGTAAAGCAACCGAAACGTAGAGATCATTTAGATATAAAATAATCAAAAATACATATAAGGTCAAAAGTCAGTGGTGGCTCAGTGGTTAAAGGGCCCGCCTCTCGTCGCCGAGAGCGCGGGTTCGATCCTGGCAAGTACCAATGTGATTTTTCCGAATCATATGTACTTTCTAAGAGTATTTAGACATCACTGATTAATGTTGATTCCCAAAAAAGGGTTGATGTCAGACAGACGGCCGGTCGTAAAAACAAATAGCCAAAAACTATTCACAACATGAAAGGCAGACCCTGGCTATAGCTGGGAAAATTGCCAGGTAGAAGAAGATATATAAGGCCAAAAGTGCGATTCTTTTGTTTCATATTTATTTGAACCTTTAGAATATTCATTTATTTAACTAATGTTTTTTCGGATTATACTACGTGGTATATTTTTGTAAAAAACTACATACTCCCAATGTTTAGGTTACTTTTCAGCAACCGTGATCATTAAGACGACATGTGAGAAACTTTAGAATATTATGTTTAAGTCGAGAACATGTCTGCCAAATGAATTTTATCACAATTGATGGCCATATGGCTTCGTTACTTCATTTTTCATCATACTAGAACTTCGGACGACAGATGCTTGCAGTTTGAAATATTGTGCTTGAGAAATTTCAAAGTTTTGAGCTTGTTTACGTAAATACAGGACCTAAAAAACCCACAGAAACTCTTAAAAAATCCACTATTGTAGTTTGATCAGCGGATTTCTCAAAAAAAAGTCCCGATGTGTTTTCCATTTTGCACAGAACAAAACGCAGTTACGTTGAGTTGGTGTAATGAGATCTAAGATTTTGCTACATAATTTTATTCATTTAAATGAAACTAATATTTTTCGGATTATATTACGCGACTACATAATATATTATACTTCTTCTTCTTCTACCTGGCAATTTCCCAGCTATAGCCAGGGTCTGCCTTACGTGTTGTGAATAGTTTTTTTTTTTGGCTATTTGTTTTTACGACCGGCCGGCCGCCTGCCTGACATCAACCCTCTTTAGGGAATCAACATTAATCAGTGATGTCTAAATACTCTTAGAAAGTACATATGATTCGGAAAAATCACATTGGTACTTGCCTGGGCCAGGATCGAACCCGCGCCCTCGGCGAAGAAGCAGGCCCTTTAACCACTGAGCCACCACTGACTTATACATACATAGATATTATACTACACGACTTTATTTCTGTAAAAAAACTACATAATCCCAACGTTTCGGCTACTTTTCAGCAACCGTGATTACTGTTAAAAATCGAAAAATATTAGCTTCATTTAAATGGCTGTAATTGTATGTCACTCAATGTTTTTTGGTGCCAAAAAGCTAGTTTTGATTATTGATTACATAATGAGGTAGAATGAGTCTTACCATTATAATTCTGGTGGGCATACCTTCCACTTTTTCCTCTAGATTGAGGATAATTTGACCGTAGGCTACTCTTGTTGAAGGTCGGCAAATAGCTACTAATACTATGTATTGCCCCGACGGCTAATTTTCAGGTACCAAGTGCTAAATGAAATTTAAGATTTTAGATAGTTTTATTCATTTAAATGAAACTAATATTACATCTTGGTGACCATGATTGCTGAAAAGTAGCCGAAACGTCAGGAGTATGTAGTTCTTTATATAAATAAAACGCGTAGTATATACGAAAAATATTAGTTTTATTTAAACTTGCTAAAGTTAAATTTTAAGTAAAAATTATATTCGATTTACTAATAATATGAGGTCTCATTTTAAAGTATGTTGTAGAGAATATTGTAAACAATTTCAAATGAATACTGCCACATACCTTTTGATTCAAATACTTTTTGCCAGCACTTTTAATATTGACATCAAAAATACTAAAAATCCTTATGATTTTAGCATCATTCTGCAATCTTTAGGACAATTAAATGATAATTGATCATTTAACTATCATTAAAAGCTAAAGTCGGACAAATTACAAGATAATTTTAATTAAAAAGTATTAAAGAACACTTAATTATCATGTACGATTGATTGATGGATATTTGACCCCAAGGATTGGTCTGGCAACTTACAAAATACATTTAAATAGCTCCTTAAATATTAAACTTGAAAATCTACTATCGTCATCATCATCATCAGCCTATCAGAGCCCACTGCTGAGCCTCTTCTCACATGGAGAAGGTTTGAGCATTAATCACCACGCTCGCTCAAGACGGGTTGGTGATTTCGAACTTATAATTTGATATTATAAGTCCAGGTTTAATCACGATGTTTTCCTTCATCTGTCAGTGATGTCTAAATATTCTTAGAAATCTACTATCAGAGTGTAAGAAAGATTGTGTTTTTTTCGTCGATAATTAAAGAATGTAGTTAAAAAATTCTGCCTTCAAAAGTTGTGTGATAGTATTCATTTCAAATTGTATACAAAATTCTTTGCAACAAACGTAAAAATCAGCCTTCACACTATAAGTAAAGTGAGTACAACTTTTACTTACTTATAGCATCTCGTACCTGATTTTTCCATCGGTAAAAACTAGCAGATATGTATACATACACTGTACACAGTAATACTAACCTTATATATATGCTTTGTCCATCAGAAAATAAGTATTTTTTTTGTAAATGGGATCTGAGACTGTCTTTAACATTCAGTGACACTCACACATTAAAGAGTGTTCACGTATTGATGTGTTATGTGTGTGTGTGTGTGTAGGTGTGTGTGTGTGTGTGTTGTGTGTGTGTGTGTGTTTCATACACTCCATATTAAACACATCTTCATGTACTTCTTCTTCATATAAACTATGTCTGTATGACGTCACAACTACACACTATGACTAGACTCACAAACATACAAGTGTATTGCTTCTCATATTATTATTACAACTATCTCAAATTGTGTATTTTATAAACAAAATTACAAATGGAGAATTAAAAACCGGTTATTTTATATATTACGAAACATAATCTAATTAATTATACCATTCAATAAAAAATAGTATATACATATATTATTTAGGCAAAAATTATTAAAATATATAAACACTTATAAAAGTTAAAATTTAATCAAGAAATATTATTTAACTAATTTCACATTATAATAATATAATAATTTAAATTTTTTCATTGTTAAGAAAACTATCAAATATTCACTTTGCATAAATAATTAACAATGTTATTACATAAAAGATATTAAAAGATAAAACTTAAACCCGTCTGTCTAAAAAGATTGAATAAAAAAGAAAGATATCAAATATTTTTCATTTCAATTTTCATCGCTAGTATTGCAACCTTTTTTAAGACATTTTCAGTGCGTAAAGTTTTTGATTGAAATAAATAAATACATTTAATTTTAAATTAAACTCGTCAATATGATTTTTTAATTTTTAAATGCTCATGTATTCTGTCCAAAAGAAACAGCTTATTTTAGAATCTAAAAAACCAAAAATTAGATCTATAATTGTGTATACCACAATAAAATTGGTGTAACCTTAGAACGGGTTAATTTTATTCACTGCATACTTATCGTTTTTAGTTTTTATTAATAAATCTTCGCATATTTTTGTATCAACTTGGTTATGAATGATAAGAACTACAAAAAGACTTAGGCTTGTCTAGAGCTCACATTAATTCATTCTTTGAACGTACTTCGAAGTCAGCCCTAGTAGGTTCTTTTCAAAATTGGTTAAGAGAGAAGCTTGGACAGTGGAGGTGAGCGTATAACGTTAGATAGGGTCCCTTGAACTTACACCTGGGTCACAAGTCCCAGTCACTGTTGAAGCTCCTCTCACTACAACGATGGACCCGACACACGCACCGTGAATACATGGAATGATGAGAGGTTTCGTCTCTCTATATATATTAAACCTACACCTGGGTCACAAGTCCCAGTCACTGTTGAAGCTCCTCTCACTACAACGATGGACCCGACACACGCACCGTGAATACATGGAATGATGAGAGGTTTCGTCTCTCTATATATATTAAACCTACACCTGGGTCACAAGTCCCAGTCACTGTTGAAGCTCCTCTCACTACAACGATGGACCCGACACACGCACCGTGAATACATGGAATGATGAGAGGTTTCGTCTCTCTATATATATTAAACCTACACCTGGGTCACAAGTCCCAGTCACTGTTGAAGCTCCTCTCACTACAACGATGGACCCGACACACGCACCGTGAATACATGGAATGATGAGAGGTTTCGTCTCTCTATATATATTAAACCTACACCTGGGTCACAAGTCCCAGTCACTGTTGAAGCTCCTCTCACTACAACGATGGACCCGACACACGCACCGTGAATACATTGAATGATGAGAGGTTTCGTCTCTCTATATATATTAAACCTACACCTGGGTCACAAGTCCCAGTCACTGTTGAAGCTCCTCTCACTACAACGATGGACCCGACACACGCACCGTGAATACATTGAATGATGAGAGGTTTCGTCTCTCTATATATATTAAACCTACACCTGGGTCACAAGTCCCAGTCACTGTTGAAGCTCCTCTCACTACAACGATGGACCCGACACACGCACCGTGAATACATGGAATGATGAGAGGTTTCGTCTCTCTATATATATTAAACCTACACCTGGGTCACAAGTCCCAGTCACTGTTGAAGCTCCTCTCACTACAACGATGGACCCGACACACGCACCGTGAATACATGGAATGATGAGAGGTTTCGTCTCTCTATATATATTAAACCTACACCTGGGTCACAAGTCCCAGTCACTGTTGAAGCTCCTCTCACTACAACGATGGACCCGACACACGCACCGTGAATACATTGAATGATGAGAGGTTTCGTCTCTCTATATATATTAAACCTACACCTGGGTCACAAGTCCCAGTCACTGTTGAAGCTCCTCTCACTACAACGATGGACCCGACACACGCACCGTGAATACATTGAATGATGAGAGGTTTCGTCTCTCTATATATATTAAACCTACACCTGGGTCACAAGTCCCAGTCACTGTTGAAGCTCCTCTCACTACAACGATGGACCCGACACACGCACCGTGAATACATTGAATGATGAGAGGTTTCGTCTCTCTATATATATTAAACCTACACCTGGGTCACAAGTCCCAGTCACTGTTGAAGCTCCTCTCACTACAACGATGGACCCGACACACGCACCGTGAATACATGGAATGATGAGAGGTTTCGTCTCTCTATATATATTAAACCTACACCTGGGTCACAAGTCCCAGTCACTGTTGAAGCTCCTCTCACTACAACGATGGACCCGACACACGCACCGTGAATACATTGAATGATGAGAGGTTTCGTCTCTCTATATATATTAAACCTACACCTGGGTCACAAGTCCCAGTCACTGTTGAAGCTCCTCTCACTACAACGATGGACCCGACACACGCACCGTGAATACATTGAATGATGAGAGGTTTCGTCTCTCTATATATATTAAACCTACACCTGGGTCACAAGTCCCAGTCACTGTTGAAGCTCCTCTCACTACAACGATGGACCCGACACACGCACCGTGAATACATGGAATGATGAGAGGTTTCGTCTCGTTTACTATCAAAAACTTTCATAAGAATATAAATAACGTGAACAAAGTCACGTTATTAACTAGTCTATTTAAATTCAAGAAAGATTTTAAAATTTCATTTAGACATTTACGAATATTTTAACAGAAACAGTCGCCATTTTGGTAAAAATCTCTGAAGAACACTTGTAATAGCATTTATATTGTGAAAGAAGAAATAATTTTAATGAGATCTAAGACTTTTACGAGTATTCATTTAAATGAAACTAAAATTTCACATCTCGTCTTAATGATCACGGTTGCAAAGTAACCGAATATCGGTAGTATGTAGTTAAAATAATAAAACACGCCTAGTATACGAAAATATTAGTTTGATAGAAATCATTTGTTCTTTATTCTTCTATATTCTTCTTAATCTTGTTTTTTATCCACAGACAGCCCAAGACCAGAGCTACGGCAGGTTAGCCAGTTGAAGCCAAGAACACAAACTATAACTTGTGCTAATAGGTAAGTTAAACATATATACATATATAATTTTTTTTATATATATAGAAAATCTTATTTTCATAATACTAGATATAATTATTTTTTATTTTTCAAATTACTTTCTTTTATTAATTACACAAATTCATGTCTTCAAACATAATTGAAATTTAATTTTATGAATTTAGTCACAGAATCTTTATGTTTCTTTATGTTAAAATGACAGATGCATAAAAAAAATTAAAATCTTTATTATTTATTGCAATTATTTCGGTACTACATATATATTATATACTAGCTTTCCGCACGCAGCTTCGCCCGCGTGGAGTTCGGTTATATCGCGTTTCCAAGAGAACCTTTCAATAATTTGAGATAAAAACTATCCTATGTTCTTTCTCTAGATCAACTCTATGTCTGTACCAAATTTCATTAAAATCAGTTCAGTGGTTTAGGCGTGAAAGCGTAACAGATAGACAGAGTTACTTTCGCATTTATAATATTAGTAGGGATCCTATCTAAATGTTACAATATCTTCAACAAACGTAATCCAATATATCAGTGGAACAAATTTGTCGTAATTTGTGTGATAGAATGAATTTTAACTATTTATTTAATGAAATTCTATCGTATCACAATATGTCCCCCTTACAAAAGTTACCCTTGTTAAAGCGGCGGAACGGATTGCTAGTGACTTTTATCAGCTTACTACGAGTGTTTAACGAAAAACGAAAAACGAGACGTTTGTAGTTAATAAAACTTCAAATTAAAGTTTAAGAATATTTGTATCAGATTAAAATGCAAATTACTTTGGATAGTGTACATTGAGTGTTTGTTTTTAAGGTTAGACTAAGAAATTAATTGTTGATTTATATTGTTTTGTCTTCTTAACGTGTTCACTTAAAAAAACCTAAACGAAATATATAAAAAAAAACAAAATAAATACTAATAATTCCTAAAGAGAGCAAAGCTCGGTAATCAGATATTATATTTTTATAATATTAATAATTTTATTTTAATTAAATATAAGACTTTGTTTTAAATACAGACATATAAATAAATGTATTATCCTTAAAATGACGAAGTCAAAATATATACATATACTAGAAGACCCGGCGAACTTCGTATCGCCCTATAATCAAGAAATATCTGTTACGTTTTTTTATTTATATTTTTGGAGTTTACCTATTAAAGCCTAAGATCTCCGTGTTTTGAAGTGTGACAGAATGATTGACATATTAGTAAGTTGTCAAATCTAATGTCAAAAAAAAAAAATTTGTATCAACAACTACTAATAAATTAAAAATTAATTAAAAAAACATTGTCCAGCAGACAAAATTGTGAATCTTAATCATTCCCAGATCCCCTTGAACACACACAAAAAATTTCATCAAAATCGGTCCAGTCGTTTGAGAGAAGTTCAGTGATATACACACTCACAGAATAATTATACAGGGTGACTGGTGAATTACTATCGATATTTGAGGACGTGATATTTGACGATCATATATGACAAAATAAAAACTAATATAACATAAATATTAATAAACCTCTAAGTAAAGTTAACCAAAAGTTATGTAATTAATTACGCATCGTGTGAACACCCTACAGATTAGGTATACACACACACACACACGCGTGAGGCGGCATGGTGTTGTATCAACACGCCGCCGCACGCGTCCACACTTGGAACACTTGGAACGTGTCCACATTTTATTTATTTATACGGAAATTTGGTCAAAAATTAAGTACCTATTTTTTTTTTTACATAATTCGAATGAGAATCATGTACCGAGTATTCTCCTTAAATATTGATAGTAATTCACCAGTCACCCTGTATATAGAAAGATATACATATGTATATATATTACACAAATTTAAGAAATGTTAATGAAAATAATTTATTTTTCTATAATATATAAATAATTTTTCATGATGACGTCAGTTCCGGTCGCAGTAAGCGCATCCGGACGATCTTTACGCCGGAGCAGTTGGAACGCTTGGAGGCTGAGTTCGAGAGGCAGCAGTACATGGTCGGCCCGGAGAGACTGTACTTGGCACACGCACTACAACTTACAGAGGCACAGGTGCTCATAGAAATATATTAGTAGTTATTAATATACTAAAACATCAAATAATGTAACAATCCATAAATCTAACAAACCAATTATTTAAACATTTAAAACCATTTATTTGCTACACACATACATTACATAGATTTAACAGAAAAAAAATAATTAAATTTAAAGAATACAGTGTAGGAGCAAGAGGTTCATCTCAGTATAAGCTGTGCTGATTTTCAGATGCCCCTGACTATTGGGTAAACAAATGTGCGCACAAGAAAATTAATAAATGAAATTATAAGAACAAAAAACTAAAAAGCCTTGAGAAAAAAAACATATCATACAAAAAGAAAACCATAAAGAACTTAGACATAAGATAGACAGACAGACCTAGACAAGACATTAAAAATAAATATCAACATTACATACATCTAATAATTTATACATCGAACAATCCAACAATCTAAATTATCCAAAATTCAAGAATCCATACTTCACACAATCTAACCATCCAAAAATCCAATCATTATGAATAAAATTATCTTTATAATAAACTCGTTTTTATCCGCGTTTGTTTCATAATAAGAAATGTATTTGACTGTAAAAAGTCTATCCCTCCTTAAAGATATTAGAAATCCATTAGACTTAAAGACAGTAGATAACATTTTAGATTTGATCAAACTATTTAATTTTCTTTTTCAATCGTATATAGAGTATCATAATATGACAAATTTTTTGGTTTAATATAACAGCGCCATCTTTTGACGAATAATTCAATCGAGTAAATAGATAGCGCCATCTGTTGAAATAATTTGGAGTTAATACATCATCGTGAATAACTAATAGTAGACAAATAATTTTGCAATAAATTAATATTGAGTATATATATTATCTCTCTACTATAATGTAATTGAGTTCTACCTTCCAGGTGAAGGTCTGGTTCCAGAACCGGCGCATAAAATGGCGGAAACACCACCTGGAAGTGACGCAGCAGCGGCTGGCTGTACTGCAGAGGCACAGGCCCGACGAGAGGGACGACGTATAGATAATAAATGACTTTGACAGCTGATATTGACATTTGACGTTGACAACTGACACTGACAATGACATCTGACGTTTCAGTATCAGTGACGTGTTTAATTCTTTTACAGCTTCACTCTTCTTAAATCCGCCTCTTTTCAAACGTGACATTGGCAGAATGTTTTGTGTAATGCCAATTAAATATCTGTACTAACCGTCATTGCCAAATAATTTGACATTTCCATATGAATCTTAATTAAATTAATTGTTTTATTTACGCCATTGTTGCTTTTACGATATATTTTTAATGATATCCGATAATAATGTTTTCAATATAATCGTTTTAACTCATAAACATAAAAATCAGAATTATTTACGAATGCACATTAAATGTTATTAGAATTACATTATTTATAAGATAAATTAAAATAAAATAGAAAATCGTAGATGTATAGTTAGTTTAAGTTTTGTAAATATATTTTTCTTTGAAGTAGATTCTAAAATATAATTTGACGCACAACATGTATGACTTTCGCGTATTCATTTAAATGAAACTAATATTTTCGTATACTACGTCTATTTTTATTATTTTAACTACATACTACGGACATAAATATGTAGTTTTAAAATAATAAAATAATGTTAAATAGATACCTCCCACGTAAGTAGTTGTATCTCCAAAACTATAAATTTATACATAGTAGAGCGTTTCAAAGATTCAAATTAAACTAAAATCTGCAAAAATTGAAAAATTACAACATTAGGTATGTATCTGACAAATCTTTACAAATAGTGTTCTTATTGTTTTTTTACTTTAAATGGATATAATGATCCATAATAGGAAAATTGTAGACCAAAAGTAAAATAGCATTTTTATTTTGAGGCATACAACTTACGTGGAAGGTATCCAAATATTAGTTTTATTTAAAATCACAAAATAGTTCATATGATGCAAAATAATTGAACAATGTATAAAAAGTTTCCCTTAAATCACGTATTTGTAAAGTATGTATGACGTAGAACTGGTATTATTCTCGTTTTATTTAATTTAAGTAATTAATAAAGATAATATACATTAAAAAGAGTTTTACTTTAATGTATAATACAATTAAATTAAAAAGTCAGTGGTGGCCTAGTGGTCAAAGAGCCCACCACTCGTCGCCGAGGGCGCGGGTTCGATCCTGGCAAGTACCAATGTGATTTTGCCGAGTCATATGTACCTTCTAATAGTATTTAGACATCACTGATTAATGCATTCCCAAAGAGGGTTGATATCAGGCAGGCGGCCGGTCGTAATAACAATTAGCCAAAACTATTCACAACATGTAAGGCAGACCCTGGCTAAAACTGGGAAATTGCCAGGTAGAAGACACATTAAATTTATATATTAATTACATAATATTAAATAATCTTCTTAATTTGCTACCAACTTTAACCCGGTTTTGTCCGCATTATTCAATATTAGTCTAATAAATTACTAGTCAGACCTTCACAATAGGTATTTATACCTAACACTAAAGATATCTATCTAGGTCGTTGTATTGACTAGAATATTCTGTAAACATTGCGTATTGTACTATTATCTTCTATATATATAAAAATGGATTGCTGTTCCTTAGTCTTGCTTAAACTCGAGAACAGCTGAACGGATTTATCTTATCTTAGTCTTGAAATGTTCGTGGAGGTTCAGGGAAGGTATAAAAGATGAAAAAAATTGATTAATTACTGGGAAAACCATAAAAACAGCCCTTTTCTATTTCCCATACAAACGTTTTTTTTGACATTAGATTTGACAACTAACTAATATGTCAATCATTCTGTCGCACTTCAAAACACGGAGATTTATGGCTTACAGGTAAACTCCAAAAATATAAATAAAAAAACGTAATAGATATTTCTTGATTATAGGGCGATACGAAGTTCGCCGGGTCTTCTAGTATAAAATATATAAATTAACAAAAGAAATGAATTGTCTCTTCGAACCGAAGAAGTGAAACTTCGTAATGAAATGAAAATAGGAAGGGGTGGAATGAATTTTAAGGAATCTTTAGTGTCTTAAAACAAACTTTATTAACATTACTTACAAGTCACTATTGATTGTCTGCGTGCGTTAGAGCGACACGCATTCACTTTCGCTCTGTCTCTTTCTATCCCTCTTCGCTAGAAGCGTTAAACGTTTAACGCAACCTTGTTGGAAGTGTAAGAAATTTCACTTCAATAATATAATGGAAAATTTATTAATAATAATAGTCGAACCTACGACCTATATAATGAAATCTTTCATTTGTTTTTCCAAATGAGCTATCGTGTCTTCTCGTTTAATATGTATTTACAATTAAAACTTAGTTAGTACTTCTACATTACTTTTATACATAATATAAACATAATTATATAATTTTTTAAACAATACATTGACACAAGTTTCACACTACATACTAATAGTTTCCCGTTTCTCATTCAATACTACGTTAATACTATACAAGATTTATGAATGAAATACTGTTGACGCGGAGTATGTAGAGACGAACTTGGAGTAAGCATATTTCTGTTTTTGTTTTCAAATATCTATTTCGTAAAGTGATTAAATTTATTCATTATATGATTGATGCACACTGATTTGAATAGATAAAAGATATTTTTGTAAAAGAAAGAAGCTTAATAACAAAAAATATCGTAAAATTCACAAAATAATGAGATCTAAGATTTTCGCGAGTACTCATTTAAATGATACTAATATTTCCGATTTTTTGTGACGAGATGAACCATCTTTTCTGCCCGTGATCACGGTTGCTGTAAAGTAACCGAAACGCCGGGAGTATGTAGTTTATAATCAAAAATAAAAAATCGCAAATCCGAAAATATTAGTTTTATTCACAATATAAGTTTAATATTTTGATATATTTATAATTAAATTTGTTTTAATTTCATAAAATTTATGTTACAAAGAAAATGGTCGTCTTTTATGACAACAATTTAGCTATTGTGATTGATCTTGTTTGTTATTTAATATTATTTACTTGTTTATATGTAAAAATACAAGAAATATCCCGCCAAAAAATGTCTAAAATAACCAAGAAGTTTAAACCAAAAAGGTAGAATATATAAATTGAATTGGCTGAAAGGAAGCTTATTGCTAAAATATGTAGTATACATAATGAAATATCTTTATTACTTCTTAAATGGAGTATAATCGTTTATTTCGTTTTAAATGAAAGTATCCTTAGTATTAGACCATCGAGACTTCGCACTGTCAGTTCGCAGGCAAGTCTTAAATCTTCGTACACTATAAGAATTAGAAGATACTTCGAAGGCAGCGCTAGTGAGTTCGTTTTAAAGGTAGAGAGAGGAGCTTGGACAGTGGAGGTGATCGTTTAACGATAGATAGGGTCCCTTAAACCTACACCTGGGTCACAAGTCCCAGTCACTGTTGAAGCTCCTCTCACTACAACGATGGACCGAACCCACGCACCGTGAATACATGGAATGATGAGAGGTTTCGTCTCTCTATATATATTAAACCTACACCTGGGTCACAAGTCCCAGTCACTGTTGAAGCTCCTCTCACTACAACGATGGACCCGACACACGCACCGTGAATACATGGAATGATGAGAGGTTTCGTCTCTCTCTATATATATTAAACCTACACCTGGGTCACAAGTCCCAGTCACTGTTGAAGCTCCTCTCACTACAACGATGGACCCGACACACGCACCGTGAATACATGGAATGATGAGAGGTTTCGTCTCTCTCTATATATATTAAACCTACACCTGGGTCACAAGTCCCAGTCACTGTTGAAGCTCCTCTCACTACAACGATGGACCCGACACACGCACCGTGAATACATTGAATGATGAGAGGTTTCGTCTCTCTATATATATTAAACCTACACCTGGGTCACAAGTCCCAGTCACTGTTGAAGCTCCTCTCACTACAACGATGGACCCGACACACGCACCGTGAATACATGGAATGATGAGAGGTTTCGTCTCTCTATATATATTAAACCTACACCTGGGTCACAAGTCCCAGTCACTGTTGAAGCTCCTCTCACTACAACGATGGACCCGACACACGCACCGTGAATACATGGAATGATGAGAGGTTTCGTCTCTCTATATATATTAAACCTACACCTGGGTCACAAGTCCCAGTCACTGTTGAAGCTCCTCTCACTACTACGATGGACCCGACACACGCACCGTGAATACATGGAATGATGAGAGGTTTCGTCTCTCTATATATATTAAACCTACACCTGGGTCACAAGTCCCAGTCACTGTTGAAGCTCCTCTCACTACAACGATGGACCCGACACACGCACCGTGAATACATGGAATGATGAGAGGTTTCGTCTCTCTATATATATTAAACCTACACCTGGGTCACAAGTCCCAGTCACTGTTGAAGCTCCTCTCACTACAACGATGGACCCGACACACGCACCGTGAATACATGGAATGATGAGAGGTTTCGTCTCTCTATATATATTAAACCTACACCTGGGTCACAAGTCCCAGTCACTGTTGAAGCTCCTCTCACTACAACGATGGACCCGACACACGCACCGTGAATACATGGAATGATGAGAGGTTTCGTCTCTCTCTATATATATTAAACCTACACCTGGGTCACAAGTCCCAGTCACTGTTGAAGCTCCTCTCACTACAACGATGGACCCGACACACGCACCGTGAATACATGGAATGATGAGAGGTTTCGTCTCTCTATATATATTAAACCTACACCTGGGTCACAAGTCCCAGTCACTGTTGAAGCTCCTCTCACTACAACGATGGACCCGACACACGCACCGTGAATACATGGAATGATGAGAGGTTTCGTCTCTCTATATATATTAAACCTACACCTGGGTCACAAGTCCCAGTCACTGTTGAAGCTCCTCTCACTACAACGATGGACCCGACACACGCACCGTGAATACATGGAATGATGAGAGGTTTCGTCTCTCTATATATATTAAACCTACACCTGGGTCACAAGTCCCAGTCACTGTTGAAG